GTTTTACTAACTTGAATGCAATCGCCACTTCATCAACAATCAACTCGATATGCTTACTTGAAAAATCTAACCATAAATCATCCACTATGTAGCTATATCTTTGACCTTTCGTGTTTCATCTATTCATGTACCATCCCGCTGGTTTGATGATTCATTTGTTACTTTGTTTGACCTTCAATTCATGAATTCTACTCATAAGGTTACAAACTAATAAGCGAACTCGTCACCATTTTATTTAAAAGCTATAACTACAGCTGTTAAAAAAGGAAGTCCTTACAAAGTAAATTATCATATATAAATTCTATACTTTTCTATGAAACTATTGTAAGATTTTTTACTAATTCAGTAAAAAGATGTTGACTGAGAAGACATTATCGTTCGGTTAACAGAACTTTGAAAATTAATATTGTTATTGATTGTTAACGTGAATAACAATTTGAAAGTGCCCAATGAATGTCTTATCATGAATATTCGACAACCAAATATTAGATTACTGAACTGAAATTAAAAATCTGATGAATTGAATATTCATTTGAGTAAATAGAAAGTTTTGTATGGATTGGCTAATTGAGAACAGAAAAGATGAAGTGTTAAGATTCTAGTTACTATCAGATATTTATATAAATCGGTGGCTATAATTTGAAATATCTACTGACAAGCCTCAGTACGTAAGATGTCTAGGTTATGTGCATTCAACGAGTTAATAATAGCTTCCCAAAATATGTCCTGAAAGAAAGAGTCCCAAGCACTAAAACTAACGTTAATCTCACGTCGATTCATGAACCACCAGTCACAAATTGGCAAGGTGAACTAGCTTCACTTCCTATTAATTCCAAACATGTATCATAACTGTGGTGTAATCGCAACCCAAGAATGATTTACATAGTTTTCAATTAGAGTTATGGAGATTGGTGTTTTTACATATTTGAAATCATCAATCAATTATTGTTAGACCACCATTAGAAACCTGGAGGCACAAAAAACCTAAATCAATCAGAGTTAGACATTAACAACGTTAGATGCCGGCCCAGTGGTCCAATGATTAGGCGTCCACACAGAAAACCGAAGGTCCCGGGTTCGGATCCGGCGAGATACAGGAGTCGTAGATGGACACCAGGACGAAACGGCCGTCCAGTGCTTCCAGGTTTCTAATGTTGGTCTAACAATGATTGATTGAAGATTTACATAGTGACTGTTTAGTATATCACTACACAGTTTAAACATTTACTACTCAGATCGATCAAGAAAAAACAATATGGCAGTGGTGTAGTTTGATTTTTGTAAATAATAATTGGCGTCGATCTAATTTTGTATGTTTTGTATGTTTTTATACGACTTTATGAATTGTCTGACATTAAGATGCTGTCCTAAACATTTGAATTAGTGCATTTACATCAATCTTACCAACATTTACATGACTCTGGACTGTACGTTGTCTGCAATAAAGGGTTTTCGTTGATGAATTCACTGAATTTGCTGTTTGGTACCTTCAGTGGTTCACTTTCATTGAAATGTAGTGATTTTCATTCGTGTCACTGCAGCCTTCTATCGTCGTCACTAAGTCACTGAAATATAGTTGATTTTTCTACCCGTTCGAATGTGCAGTTATACCTAGTTTTGATGGGGACATATATAACTCGTAAACGTGATCCATTTCGACCTACCTAAAATATACAACAGACTTGGAAATAGTACTACACTCTTAAATCAGATAAAAAAAGTTAAATGCAAGTGTAACTCAGAAGAAAATATTCAAAATCTAAAATAAAACAGACTGAGATTTATTGACAAATGACTGATCGGAAAACACGGTAGACGTTTTCGTTGATAATCTTAAATCCTACTT